ATATAACAAACACATGACTATTGTCTAATTGGCCTACCTTTGAAGGAATGGGATCCTGTTTCTACAGTGAAAAGATGGTTAAGGATAAACCACACAGCCAATGGTGCTTGAATAAAAGCGAAGACTATTGCAAGTGGGGGCACCAATCAAGAAACATATGGAGATATCTTTTTTTAAAAGATATCTTAAATAACAGTTTTATTGACAGATATTATTTAATATTTTAAAATTTCTCATAACGATCTAGTTTTGTGTACCTCTTTCAGCGTCTGTTCTTATTTAAGTATCAACTGTATGAAATAATAAACTACCTTTTGGTATATCATTTTTTATACTTACAATGGTATTTATATCAGCGAACTGGTTGTTCAATTATTTTAATCCCACCACTGATTAAATTGCATGATATGTAACGTATGTGCCAAGAAATCGGCTGCTATTTCTATGTGTATAGTGTTATCAGGGATTAGCCACTCTAGTTCATTGACCAATTGAGTTTCCATCCAGCCTTTTATTCTGTTTCTCAGCCTATATAGATTCCATGTTCCATTCCTTTCCCAATGTCCTCCACTCTCCCTTCATTTATTTACTGTGGCCTTGCAGAACAATCTAGCCTTGACGGCAACATTGTGCTGGCGCACAGCTGTGCTCAATCATTTATGCTTGGTCTAAGGACTACTTTTGTGCTACAATGGCAGGGTTGATTAGTTTGGGACAAGAGAGAATGACCTGCAAAGCCTAAAATATTTATTATTTGGACCCTTATGGAAAATTTTGGCTGACCACTGTATTATATCACAAACCTTCTCAAAACTGTTGAAAGAATTTGTATATAGTTTCAAATTTTACATGCATGCATATTTTGTTTCCAAATACATAGTTGTGAAATACCTGTGTAGATCTCTTTTGTAAATGATATATGCTTGGTATAAAAATGCTACATAAAGATTTAATGATACCGCTGATCATTCTTTTTTAATTCAGTTCAACTAATGATCTCGGTTAGCAAACTGGTATGTATTCCTCTGGAATCCTTTCAGCACATAAACGGATACGTATGTTATTTAAAAAAAAAATTTGATATGAGCAAAAAAAAGGTGGTGGTGTAAATATTTACTGATTGAATCACTGCCAATGTGAGCATTATCACATTGACTTCTCAGGGCCTGAACTCTGCGCCCACATGTCTGGCTGTCAGCTAGCCATCTCCAGGTCCACCTACACAAGCTCTCCCCCGGGAATCTTCAGTAATGACAGCTAACTCTCCTAGCACTTTGTGGCTCTGGTTCAGATGCTGATTGCTTTAATAAGCACAATTATCCTACATGACCATCCCTTTTCACAGAAGGGGAAGGGGAGACTCACAGAGGTCGTGTGACTTGGCGAACCCCACACACCTGGTTCACCCAGAAAGGCTCTAGTTCTAAAAAGCGGAACCCCTGGATGGAAAGGCCTCTCCCCACTTGCCCAAGGTTGTGACCAGCCTGCGAAGCAGACAGGGTTACAGAGTGGCCTTCATCTTTCCCCACCCTTCCAGTCTGTCTCACCCTGGGTCCTTGAGGGCCAGGCTGCAGACTGGAACTTCGGCACTTCCACCCTTGCCCACTTCTAGCAGACTCTTAGCTAAATCTCTACCAAATGCAGGAGCAAAGCCTGCCAATTCATTCAGGAGTATTTGCAAACGACCTAGAATGAAGCCATCTATTGTGCACCATTTAAAACCCATTT